ACCTGTATATGTTGTTCTGAGATTTTTTTTTTTTTTTAAAGGAAAATAGAAGAATCTTAAGGAAATTTCCTTATGCTTACGTTTTTCACACTATCTAAAAAAATATCCTTGACACAGAGTGAAAAGGTCACATGGCTCATAGAAATGGAAGCAAACACCCCAGTAAGATTTTCTCACCTGGAAAATATCCCTAATTCTATTTATTGCAATTTTCATTATTATTATTTTAGCAACAAAGAACTCCAGGCCCTTTTCCCAGCCTAAAGTTCCCTGAAGTGATCTTTCCCATAAGGAAGATAAGTTTTCACTTAGAGGATAGCATCTCTAGCAGCAAGAGTTTAATACTCTGCAACAATATCAGGGATACGCAATCCTGAATTTACAGCTCTTCAAATTACTTTTATAGCTATACTATTCATTTTGGATCAGATGCTTATCTAAAATTCCATATATTTTGGTAGCCATAATATCTGATTTTAAACAGCTTCCAACGAGCCAAAGAACAGTACTAAAAAAAAAAAAAAATCCCTGAAAAAGCCACAGTGGGCCAGATTCTAGGAGCTGCAAATCACTGTTGCTCTTTAAAGCTAAACCATTTTACACCAGCTAAGGATTGAGTCCAATAGGCACAATTTCACTTCAAAGTTTATCTTATTTCCACAGGCATAGCGTTTTGCTTCTCATCTGCTCTGTTAATAACAAATGAAATTTTCTAATTAGTTTATCTCAAATTCTTTTATGCCTTTCCTTATCAATGACTCAAGAGGGGGAAAAAAAAAGTGATGACTGATCAATTAATCAAGCTTTATTGATGCACAATATTCTCCAATACTTCAGAAATGTCTGCAGAACAATTTCCTCCAATCCTAACATCAATGAATCAATGTAAAATCCCAGTAATTAAATTTATCAACTCCGTATCAACATATCTGGCACTTTATGAAAGTATTGTATGAAGTTTGTTCTCTTAAGGGATATATTGATTAAAGGCAAAGAGCCAAATATTTCTATTATTAGATCTGGGAATGCTAGATCACAAGTAATTCTGTTATAAACAACATACAAATGTTCCATATACACAGATCTCATGCTGATTCTGTACCATTAAACCCACTCTTAACAAGCAGATAAGCCTATTAATTGATGATTAAGACTACAGGAAGATCAGTCATTACATTCAATGCTTCTTGTATGCATTCATTGAACAAACGTATTGACAGCAACCATACAGAATCGTTTTCCTCTAGGAATCATATTTAAAAGAAAGGAGGAGATCATCTAAACAAAAGCAGATTTCAAACCTTCTTCCTGCAGCATAAAATAGCCTTAGTTAATTAATTAAAATTTGAAACTGAAGCTTTACAGTCTGAAACAGATTAACATCTTTCTCCATCGCATACAGTACTGTTATTAATTGAAAGGTGAAAAATAAAGCCTAAAAATGACACATCTGATAAAAAAAACCATATGAAAAAACAAAACAAGGGAACAGAAACACCATCCAAGTGTTTTTACAGTTTAAAGGGCTAGAATACAAACTATTCTGAAATATATTTTTAGCTACTGTCCTTTACTGTGTATGTGTAAGCAAGTAGGGCACAAAAGTTCATGAAGAGCTATTTTAACAATCAATTATTAGAAAAAGAGGAGTAGTTAATTCTATAGTAAGAAAAAAACAAACATTTTTGACTCTGCTTAAACATAAGAGTCTTTCAAAGATTAAAAAGCAGCTTATGACTTAAGATTGTCATTTTTTCCTGTGAATTGTACAATGAAGATAATAAGAACAACACAATCGTCAGACTTTTAAAGTCCTGCTAGAATTAGGGAAGCAGACATCCCTGTGTTTGCGCAGATGTTCCAATAAATAAAAACAATTTGATCCTGTACTGAAGGTACTAACAACAAAAACCCCAAACCCACCAGATTCACGTAGGAGTCACATCCTGTTACAAACATCAAACAACAATGAGCCTTTATTACCATGCTATGATTCCTTCATTTCAAACATGATTAATTAGGAAGCATAACACTCACCAAAACTCCCACCACGCTTCTGTTTGCTGCCTATTTGCAAATGGGTCTCTAGCAAGTATCCATAAGCAGTATTAGTCTCATTTAGGATAGTGGAGAAAAGAAGCCCAAACATCCTGCTTTAAGGCTACGCTCATATATTAACCAAAAAAAGGGGGGAGGGGGAGACACCAAAACTACCTCTTTCTTCCTTTTAATCCGAGGAATTCCTTGATAAACCAAATACAAACTTCATGCAAAATGAAAAACTTTTTAAAAAAGTTGCTAAACAATTCAAATGGTTGGAAATAAAAGTAGGTAAGGAAAAAGATGGGTCTGGACTTTGCATTGATCTTTTTTACTTGAAACTTCAACTTTCTGTTCAATTTGAAATACACTGCTGCTGCTGAGAATGAAAGCATGGTTCGCATGTCAAAAATGGAAACAAAAAGAGGATGAGAAGGGGAAGACACACTTAACAGGACTCTTAGCATGTTTTAAGCTGTGCAAACAGATGTCTCCAAATGCATCTCGCTTGCAATAAACATTACTTTGACAGTAAAAGAAACTTTGCTTTTTGGGGAAGAGAGGTGAAACCAAGATTACAAATACAGGCGGAGAAACAAGACTGAAATTAGAGGGGGGGGGGAAAAAAAATCTGAAATTACCACCTCTGAAGAACTGAACCTATAAATACCATCACAAAAACAACAGCAGAAAAAGGCTCAGTTTGAAAGCAACAGCTGTATTCCTGAACCAGAAAATATCCCTGTCGAAATAACGCACGGGCATAAAGAGAGGATCTTTAAAAGTACGGAAACAGATGCATGTGCAGCAAAGTTAAACTTTCAACAGAAATTAAAAATTAGGCAGAAGACCCGATACCTCCTTGGTTTACCAGCTCAGTATCACAGATCCTCGATGATTTTGTCACGCCTAGAGTGGAATCATTTTTAAGCGCAAATCGGTCCTACCCTCTCCAGCTTTTTCAATTTTATAAATTTGGGATCAAAAACATCAAAGCAGCTTCCACTACGGACCTAACTTTTAGAGGATCAATGTGACAAGTCACTGCTTGATAGATGTTTCTCTTGATAAACGACTTGTTCAAAAGAGACATTGTAGCTTTCATTTCCTGACCACAACACACTTTTAATTTGCAACAGCAGAGCTGCTGGAGTGTGACTAGTTCCCACTTTCCAGCCTTTCAGGATTGTGGCACTGTCAGGCCACATACACGGGCAAAACAAAAACTCAGAAAGAGGTGCATCCGCAGCAAGGATTGTAGCAAAACTTTTCCCCCAAACAGGAACCTGATTATGCTTGTTTTCTCTTAACAGCGGGCTTTAAAAACCCCCTCCCAGCCACCTCTAAATGTTTTGGGGAAGGGGAAAAGAGAGGAGAAACTGTGTTTGGAAATATACACTTAAGGACGATAGTATATATATATAGCTGCCTAACACTACTGTGTTTATTATACAGATATATATTACTGCTACTATAATTATTATTATTATCTGGGAATCGCATTTAGCGGTCCAAACCATCCACACCATCCAATTTCAGCTCTCAGCCCACTGTCCGATTCCCGATTTAAAATTTATAAATGTAATATCCTCATCACAAGCAGCAGTCCAATCTGCTCTGAATATATATTACAGCTTTAACATCACAGAGGGAAATCTCCCATCTGGCAATCACATTCGCTCCAACAGCTCCAGGAAAAAAAAAAAAGAAAAAAGAAAAAAAAAATGTTCTGCTCTCGCTCGCTCTCCTCCTTAAAACATTTCTCAGGGCAAATTATGTGCATCTAAAATAAACAGTCGCCTTATTGATCGCTTCAAAGTCAACAAGTTCTAAATGCAAAATGCAATCAGATCATTCCCATCGTATAGCACCCAGGATATGTTTAGCAATATAGTCACCTACAGCGCCAGCATAGGAGTGCACATTGTGCAACTGCTCTCTCAATCTCTTTCTTGCATTCAGATATGTTATTACGAGAGATCATCAGCCACACATGCCAGACCTCCCCCTTACCCCAAACACACACACACACGCTCTCTCTCTCCTAGGGTCTCTCTCCATCCTTATTTGTTGCTACCATACGCTATTAAAAGTGCACGTACCCCCCTTTTGGTTGCACAAAACAGACTAATAGTCACTTCTGTTGTTAGTTCTTTAGCCTTAACTGAATACCGAGAGGTGCATCCACTGCACCACAAGGAGCTCTGCTGAAATTCCCCATGCTCCATTTTATCTGACTTTTTTTGGAGGAGGAGGCAGCGTGGGGGGCTGGAGAGTGACCGTTAAAATGAAGCCAGTTTCAGCACCTGATTATTTCATTCTGTAACACGTTGAGAACAGAGCAGTGGGAACCAGACACTTGTAAACTGAGCATAAAATACCACTTATTAAACAGTCGATCACAACAGCATTTTTGTTTGTTTACATGCAAAACATTCCCCCACCCCCTACTTCAGTTAAAACCTCTAGTAGATGATTTTGCTAAAACTAGGAGAGGGGAAAGCAGCTGGAGTTCAAGTAAATACTCAAATATTATTGGTTTGAAATAGAAAAAGATATACTTTAGGAATGCATGTGCAAGCACACAGACAGACAGATGTATATAGCCATTGCTATGCGTTTTCCCCTTCTCCAGTCACCGAGTTTTACTAATTTACATACCACTGGAGTTCAGTGGTGTATATAGTGCACTGCTAGTAACATGCAACTTTAGGTTTTACAACTGAGATCAATACAACGGACAAAACTAATGCTCTAACCAAAGCAGAAATGATAAACAAATGATAGCAAGAGAAAAAAAATGCGCATATATATTTACATATAAAAGTGAAAATTTACTATTAAACATTAGGTATTTATTACAATATATTTGCATGCAGAGTCCTCCGTGCGTTATCATGCTATTTAAATTTGTCTTTGCTATTTAGATGCAAAGGAAGTAGATCCCAAAACGGACATAC